GACTGGCTCTTGCTGCCAGATGGGTTTTGGTGCTCCCTGTCTAGGCTCTGGCTGCAAGTTCTGACCTGTAGCGTCGTCCCGACTCGCTGGTCAGAAGGCAAAGTCGTCCTTATTCCCAAACCGAGCCATGGGATGCGACCCCTCACGGTGCTCAACGTGGCCTGGCGCATCGGCGCTAAGGCGCTTGCCATGTCCCTGAGGGATTGGACTACTTCGTGGGCCAGTTGCCGCACGCTGGGCGGAGTCAGCCGTCGGTCCACACGCGACGTCAACCTGCAGGTGTTAGAATCGTTGGACTGTGAAGAGAATTGCTACGTGCAACAGGACCTTAGCAAGTTCTTTGACAGCGTGCAGGTGCCTCAGTTGCTTCTCACTTTGGAGCGCTTCGGTGCCCCCAGCACTTTGCGAGATTTGGTGCGTGGCTTCTATGACTCTCACTTCCGGGTCTTCTCCTACATGGGCACATGTGGCAAGCGTTGGAGGCGCATCACTTCGGGTATTGCTCAGGGATGCCCCCTCAGTCCTGTTCTCGTCGCCACTGTGATGGCCACTTGGAGCATCTGCGTCGAAGGCTCTGGCGACTCCACTCCTGGCGCTGTGCGCACGGTGTCCTTCGTGGATGATCGTCTGGTGTGGAGCTCTTCCGCTGATGTCTTACGTGGTGCCATGAGTCGAAGTCATGCTTTCGATGCTGCCTACGACTTTGACTGTGACCGTACCAAGAGCCGGGTTGGGGCTCGGGTTGGGAGTGAGGCTGGTGCTGCTTTGTCTGCCTCTTTGGGCTACGATGCCCACGACTTCCTGGACCTCTTGGGCATCCGCATCACCTTGAACGCTGGTCAGGTACCGGTGGTGGGCCGCTTCGTGCTTGCGAGGGCTCGACGCTTGATTCACTTCATCGGGGTCACGCCGGCAGCACTGGAGCTTAAGCAGCTCATGTTTCGCTCTTTGGTTCTTCCCAGGGCTTTCTGGGCTGGTGGCTACGCCCGCGTCGAGGAGGAGGACCTTGTCAAGCTCAACAACGAGGCCACGTGGCTTTTGGGCACTCGCAATGTGGCCGATGCTGCCAGGGTGATCTTGTGCGAGGTTGCTGGCTGGGATGCTTGGCCTTCTTTCGCCTACCAGAAGTCTGCTTTGGCTGAAGCTATTCGCTTGGCGTCCACTCCCCTGGACTGGATTGAGGACGCCCCGCTCACCTTTGTCTGCAAACAGTGGTACGACTTGTTGCCTGTTACCAACGAGGTGCTTAGGGCCTTAGGTTGGTGGACCAATCAGGCTGGAACGCACCTTTTCCGGCGCGACTCGATCGGTGACCTTCGCCAGTTTCAGTTGGGCGTTGATAACCGAGAGGTCCTCTTTGAGTGGCTTCGCGATGTGCATCGTAGACTGCGGCTTGCCTCTTGCAGTCGTGTTTGCAGGTCGCTCCATCGTGATCCTCAGCCGGATTTGGCGCAAGGCCTCGACTTGCCAGGGCCTCCTCCCGAGTCGTTGTGCCTCTTTCAGGGGCATGTGAAGGCTTGGAAGTGTGCCCGTGACTCGGTGGACAGGGCTACTGCTTTGGCTGGTGGCTGCTCCGCGTGGTACAAGGCGAAGCGGGACTACACCAGTGCCCTCCCTGCTGCTTCGCAGATTCGGTGCTTGTGTGGGTTGCGACAGCCGTCAAGGCCACACTTGCTGTGGGCGTGCCCACGTACGGCAGAGTTCCGCGCTGGCTTGGGGGATCCTCCCACGCGGCTTGAGGAGCGACTTTTGACAAGAAGTGTTCCTGAGACTCCGAGGCCTCCTGCTGTGGTGGACTATCACGGCTACATTGAGGACATCGCTGAGGCCATCGACTCCAGGTTGCAGCGCTCGTCGGGCTCTACGTTGGTTGTCGCCACCGACGGCAGCGTTGTTGACACCGTTGCCGCTTGGGCTTTGGCCTTCGACGACGATCAGACCTTCGCTCAAGGTTTTCCTTCTGAGGATCAGAGCCCCCATCGGGCTGAGCTAGAAGGCCTTCTCGCTCTCTTTCGAGCTTTGGAGCTGTGCAAGTGCACTGGTGTTGTGCATGTCATCTGCGATTGCCAGGCTGCACTTTTGGTTACTGAGGGAGGTGGTCTCGAGCGCCTCATGGCTGGCGCCTTCACTGCTGTTCTGAGGCGACTTCGGAGTCGCTTCCACGTGCATTGCTGGTGGTGCCCGTCCCACGGTAAAGCTGCTCCTGCTACATGGCAGTGTCCCCCATGTGGAGAACTCTACGCCAGGCGATTGAACGCCCTTGCTGATGTTGCGGCTCGCAGTCAGGCCGGGCGTCTTGCTGCTGGTTCGGCCAGGCAGCGCTGCTTGGAGTCGCGGAGGGCGGCGCAGCGTCGCCCGCGTCTGGATGGACGCCTAGCGCTGATGGGCTTTCTTGACAGCTAGGACTTCGGCATCCTGCTGTCGCCACAATTTCAAGAACTACCACCGACCTCACGATAGATCCCGAGACCATGCGCCCAATGCCACGGATGTCGAGGAGGCAGGGGTCTCGACCGGGCGTGCTGCTGGCCGTAATTCTCCGTCCTGAAGTTTCTCGTTCTCCAAAACCTCGAAAGCCTTCGGGAACCCGGAGGTGACGGCACGGGCCAGGGAGGTCGAGGCAGAACTGTCGTGGTCCTGGGCCTTCCTCGGCATGTAGACCCTATAGTGCCCATCTCGGACTCATGCCCCGTGGTGACGCAGGGTTGTAGAAGCTGCGCGAGCCACAATTGCGGCACCGCCAGCCTCCTGCCTTCGGGCTCATACTCCACAAAGTCGAATCGGAGCCACCTTCAAGAGGCGCCTTGTGCATCTCGTGGTCGGTCGGGCTCATTCCATCCACGGTCCTGCGAATCTCTGGCATCGGGGTCACATGCTGGGTTTCATCCGAGAGTCCAGGAGGAACACGAGGTGGGGCCTTCGACGAGCTTCTTCCTCAGGGCCGTTCTCTCAAGAAGGTCTCGATCAGAGGGGGCTCTCCGGGATCATCGGAGCCCAGCATGGCAAGCCCTTATAGGGCTCCGCTGCCAACTCGTGCGATAAGGTACAGGCTCAGTGCGCATCTTTGAACCCCATGGCAGCAGATGGACCAATGTGCTCGCACAGCCGAGCGCAAACGCTGGACCTTCACACATACAAAGTATACGTACATCACACAGATTACGTTTCACTGCCTTATGTTACAATACGTTACATGACATTGCATTCCGGGACAGGACACGACAGGACGTTACATAAGATCACACTACTAGATTGCGTTACCCTGCACTACGCGTCACATTAACTTATTATACGCACCTTATATGCACAATGAAGACGTGCAGTACTTGAAGGATTCATACATCGAAAGGTTCTTGTAGTCTGCTAAGTTCGATACTAACATACGCACATACATGCATGCACAGAAGATGCACAAATCATGCATGCTTGCTTAGTTCAATGCACACAGTGATACATCACCACGCACACACGCACACACCCACACACACACACACACGCACACACACACACACACACACACACAAACACATGCCACTCTGCTCATGAACATTCCAGAGAAGCCGGCCCGACATAGGTCGCAATCTCCTTAGTCAGGTGCAGCTCTCAGTGGCAGAGTCTTTTAAGACCAGCGAAATGCTAGTACTTTGACCACGGAGGCTACTGGAGCTAACGCAAAACCAAAAGGACTTCGTTTTGACACACTGTATTAATACCTTCTTTTCCCGGCTGGTCACACACACACACACGCGTGCTCTGAGAGATAACACTGACACGACCAAAGCATACTCTGAGCCTAATGTCTTCCATGCATCTAGGATCTGAACCGGGAAAGGTCCTTTATAGAACGGCAAGAGCGAGGAAAGGCATTCCCTTCACGCACGGGATAGCGCAACGGGGAACTCAAGCGGTTACTTTTGATACCGGTCGAATCTGCAGCTACAGTACCAGCAGGGGCACTGCAGCAGACCTCGGCGCAGCTTAGCTGATCGCTCGCCCCATCGAGAATCCACCGGATACTTGTACCCAAATGTGGATGTTGCGATGATGTTGCGTAGCTCATCTTGAGCACGGATGCCCGTGCAACCGAGCGCACCCATGCTGTCGACTCGTGCGGTGCGGAAAACGGGTGTGGACACGTCTGAGGTGTTGTGTGAGGAGGAGGAATGAATGGCAAATGGGAGTAGCCGCCGTCGCCCGCCCACTCCCCGTCATCGCCGGTCTCCGCAGAAGGTTCAAGAAGAGCATTACTCAATAAGTACAACCAAGCGACAGATAGGCTGCACCCCACTGGCGCACTTCAAGGGGGAGAAGAGGAAGCAGAGGGAGAAAGGAAGGGACAAAACGAAAACTCCAACATTCCCGACTCAAAACGGGATGTCTGCTGCACCCACCCGACCCCACCCGCCGCACCCACACACACGGCCCGTCCGCCCCTGCCGACGAAGTGGTCAAAACAGAATCAAAAGCACGAACAACGAGGAACGCGACTGACACTGGGCGACCCACACGCTGGGCCGGATCCAGCGGACAAGGCCAACAACACATGAAGCCATGCTGTCCATGATCTGCATTGTCCATTTTGCAGCGCTGATCCGTGAGCCTTTTGTGACACAAACCTGTTGCCAAGCGGCCCCGGGTGGCCCGGACTGTCCGAAGTCACAAAGTTTCATCGTCGGAGCCTGAGAACACAGGCTATAGCCACTTCTAGAGGTACTTAGATTCTCTGTCTTAGACCGCTGCTCCACGACCGCCGCCTTCGCTTCCCCCAACAAGGATGTTTTCCGGCCTCACTCAAGTGTAAGATACAAACCAGCTGCCAGGGAAAGTGATGTAGAGGAGTAAAGTGAAGCGTGCTGAATCATGAAACAGTGTCACGTGTTCAGTCTGCAGATCTGTATGGCTTTCCGACAACTTGTGGAAAAGTCAAGACGGTAGCTATCAGCTATCAAAGAAAGAGCCTTCCAGGCACTGCAAAGTGCCACTGAGCCTCTCGCTTGACATCACAGTGGACCAAGCCCGCCGCATGAACCTGCGCAAAAAAGCGAAGTTCAACATTCCGAAATCCAAACGGAACTGCAGGTTTGTGGAACCCACCAGTTCAAAGTTCAAAGATGATCAAAGTGCGATCAGGTGAGCACCGCAGCCAGTGCCATCAGCAGCCGTCGTGCTGCCCAGCGCACCTACAATGCTTTACGATCCGAAGAATTTGTTGGGGACATTTGGGGGCGCCAAAGCCTGGGATTCTTCGACGCGGCGGGCGGCGGCCTGTCTGGCCGTCTTTTGGAATCTCTTGGAGCACGAACAGCACGTTTGTATTCCGAGGGGCAATGCAGTGGTGCAGGCTGCCCTCGATGTACTCGAAAACGAGGAAGAGTTCGCCACCTCGCCACGTCTGTGCTGGCTGTCGAAGTGCCATTCGCGCTGGGGCACACACCGTGCCGTACTGCCTCCAGGAGTTGCACCAGATGCCTCGAAAAGGCAAGCCGTTCTTCTCTGCTGCTCTGGACTTTCGGGTAGACTGGTAGACCTCCGGTCCGAAATGGCAGCGGCCGCGCGCACCTCTGAGAGTGATAAAGATTCAATTTTCCGGTGTCATGAACCGTCACACACCTCTGGAAGCTGCTTGCATGCTTCCCAGGACCTGAAAGGGACAAGACGGGACCGGGTGCTTCTCGCCCGTCTTGGTCTGGCTACGATCGCTACAGTCACGTGGGGCTGGCTTGAAGGCTTGCAATGGCTTCCAACGAGCGTCCAAGAGCGCACTGCCATAAACTCTTGGTGCACATCAAGCGCCCGGCTCTGGCGACTGCTTTAGCTGCTTGACAGCGACAAGCCGGCCGTCCTCAGAGAAACCGCGGTGGCCATGCGTACACTAAACCTCAAAAATGTCCGAACTCGAAAGAGCCGTGGCCGATGCCGACTTCCGGCGTGCCTTCCATACCACAGCAAAGGCACCTTTCGCAAACTAACAACCGTCGCACTCTTAGCTCTGACGCCAAACTGGACGACTCTCTTTTTCGTCGTGTGGATGTATAGCGCTGAAAGCGCCGCTCGGCGTGCAGGTTCAGGTCCTACAGCCGGCGCCGGGTGCGCATTTCAGCACCGGCCCGCTGCGGACTGACCGCCGCCGAACCCTAAGGGTGGCGTGGGTGGGAGAAAAGCTTAGGCGAAAGTCGCGTCGAGCCAGAGTGCTGAAGGCAGCTACGCCGTTCACGGTTGTTACTACGCACACAAGTGTGCTTCACAACAACCGTCGCACTCTTAGCTCTGACGCCAAACTGGACGACTCTCTTTTTCGTCGTGTGGATGTATAGCGCTGAAAGCGCCGCTCGGCGTGCAGGTTCAGGTCCTACAGCCGGCGCCGGGTGCGCATTTCAGCACCGTCCGGCGCACCCTGCCCCACTACGCGCCGGCTCAGAGAACCAGGAAGTAGAGCAGGAGTCCAAATCGGCCGCCGCCGCATCCACTGCATAGACGATGTCGTCGACCGCTTTCGCCAGGATGTTCATGATCGTCGACGCCGGGGTGTGGACCCTTGTCCACCCCTCGCGTCGTGCCCTGGAGAAGTCGTCGCGGGAAACCGCGTCGGCCACATTGGCTTTCGACGGTACCCGCCGGAACTGGATCAGGGTCCCTTTCCTCGCCGCCAGGGCCCAGAAGGCTGCCAGCAGCCCGTTCACCGCCGGGTCCTTTCCATAGCCCTTGGACAACGCCGCCTGTCCCGCAGAGTTGTCGATGAAGGCTGTGATGGCGCCGGGCATGTGGGCGGAGAACGCCGTGATCGCGACCACCTGCGCGAAGATCTCGAGCATGTAGATAAATGCCCGCCGCGCCTGGAACTTCTGCAGGAACCACTGTGGGACGACGCCGTGGTCGTAGAAGACAGTGCCGCCGAGGCGCAAGACGAACCCCCAGCCGTTGTTGGCACGGTTGGGCCTGGAGGCGTCCGCCGACACTGGCACGTGCCCCGCCTTGTGGATCCGCTCGCCGTCCAGGAAGAAGGCGTCGGCATAGAGCACAGCAGTGTCCAGCTCGTCGGTGGCAAAAGGTATGAAGCGAGGGCGGACCGTCGGCAGGATGTGCTCCAGGGACAGCAGCGCCGCCCGTAACCCCGTGTTGAGGCCGTCGGCAGAGTGTGCCGACGTATCCGCCGCACGGGCGTAGATCGCCTTGGTGGATGCCTTGCCAACGCCGCCGAAGACCGCCTGTGTGAGGAAGGAGAGCCTGCCCGCGAGCTTCTGCGCGTCGTCGGGTTTGAGCTGGTCCTCGTCGAGCGCCTTGCGAATCTGTGCCAAGATGCGTCGCACTCTCTCGGGAGTGGGGCTGATCGTGACCCCGCGTCGAGAGATGGTGAAGGTGACGCCTTGAACCACGTGTTGGGCCGCCGCCGGTTGGGACTTGGATGCCTTAATGCGGAAGCCCAGCGCCGCGAAGAGCTCCTTGAAGGACTCGGCCGCCGACTCGCCGAGCTCCTCAAACTCCAGGCCGTTAAAGTCATCCACGTAGTGCCCCGTCGCCAGCAGCAGGAGCCCTCGCAGCAGTTGCTGGAGGGCATCCCCGCCGCGGTTAAAGTTCCAAACCGAGGCGGTGGCGCCGAAGTTCATGGCCAGGTGGTACCAGAAGGTCCAGCCTTCCGCCGTGGCCAAGAAGGTCCCGCACTGCGCCGGGTGCTTGACAGGCCACTGCCTGTAGGCGCTGAGCAGGTCGTGCCCGAACACCAGAATCACGCCGTCGACCGCCATGCTGCGGGCGAGCTCGACGAAGGCGCCGATGAAGTGGTGTGTCGGGACGTCGTCGGCGCTGATGGTCGAGTTGTGACCTGAGCGCCGCCAGTCCTCTCCCCGGCGGATCTTGGGATCACCATTCTCGTCGAGCTGGATGATGGCAAAGGAGGCCGCGAGGAATGCCTCGCCGGGTGGTGGCTCGACAAGGACCGCCGCGGCGTCGACCCAGGGGAGTGCCACAGCTTTGGCCTTGAGCCACGTCGGTGGGCGCGCCGGGCCAATGACCCGCCCTAGGCGGACCTCGTCGACGAGCTCCTCGCCGGTGTGTGGCGCTGCCACCTTGCGCCGCACATAGTCAGCATTCACCTGGCGCAGGGACTCCATGGACGCCGGGAACCTGTAGCGGTCGTCGGTCCTCTTCCTCCAGCCTGGGCCTGGGCGGATGGCGCCGATCATGTCGAAGCCGTCGGTGAGGTCCTTCTCAAGGTTCGCCACGTCGGGGTAGTTGAGGCGTCGAAGGAGCTCCAAGAAGACCGGGATCTGTGTGACCGCCGGTTTGTCCGGCGTCGAGTAGGTCGCCCGGACCGCTGGTGTGCGTGCTGCCATCCACGCCGCCGTCTCATCGGCGAAGTCCTCGATGAGCTGCCGCACCTCGTCGAGCACCTCACGCCGAATGCGTGCCAGGTCGTGTCTCCAGCGCCGGCGCAGTGTGATCCCCTCCGCCCACGCCGGTTCCAGGACCGGGTCTGTCTGGAGCGGGTGCGGCAGCAGCGCCGAAGCTCTCCAGTGGGAGTCCTCGTCGAGGTGTTCCAATGCGTCGGGTCCCGTCGGCTGCTCGGGTGCCGGGCCCATGATCGGGCCGCCGTGGCTCCACAGCGCCGCCACCCAAGAGATGGTCGACTGGCGGGGCGGTCCCGTCGGTTTTGGTGGCCACCAAGAGGATCAGCAGCAGGCGCCGTGCCACCCCCCAGTGCCACCCATTGCCGAGTAGGCGGTGGCGGGTCCGGTCGTCGAGGGTGCTGTCGCCGGCCTGGAGGGTGTAATCCGCCGGCAGGTGGTGAAGCTGCTCCTTCACCTTGGGCGGGACCACATGGAGCTTCCCGTCGGCGCCGACCATCATGGCTTCGCGAAGGTAATGCCATGGAGCGAACTGCCGCCGGTCTGCGAGCCAACGCTGCTGCGCGTCGGCCGGTATCTTCCCCCTGCAACCTCTGGGCGCCGCCCGACCGTTCTCGTCGGTCGCGGGCGTCGTGGCGCAAGGGAGGCGCCTCCTGCCGGAGAGCACACTGTCGTCGAAGGTGAGGCCGTCGAGTGTCATGGCGTCGGCTGCTCGCCGGGCCTCCTCGAGCCTGAGGCGGTCCCAAGGGCCTTTCCGCGCCCATTGAAGTGGTTCGCCGGTCCCGGGGTCCAGCCTGACCTGGCCCCAGTCCGCCGAAAGCCACCAGAGGCGGGGCCGCCCTATCCACCCGAAGTCTGCCGCGTCGGCCAACACGGGCTGTGTCCCCAGAGCCGCCGAGATCTGCTTGGCATCCGCCGTGGACATCTCGACATTCTCGAAGAGGTAGCCGAAGCGCCGCGGAGCCACCAGCCGCCGCACCTCGAGCACGAACTCGACTGACTGTAGGAACAGGCCGCCCCGAGCGCCGTCGTGGCCCTGGCCGTCGGCTACCCTGGAAAAGTCCTGGCATGGAGGGGCGGCCGCCGCGATGACATCACAGTCGCCGCGCTCGATGATCTCCGCGACCTTCGCCGGGTCGTCCTGGCAGAGGTCGCCGCGGTGTCGAATGCCTGGTACCTGGTGATCGGCCACCGCCGTGGCCGTGCGGTCCAGTTCCCAAGACAGGATGGCCGCCGGCTGTCCGACCAGATCCCACACCAGCCAAGGCGCCGCGCCGACACCGTCGAACAAGGAGAGCAGGATGACTTCGGAGCCCGCCGGACGTCTGTGCTGTAGGCGGGGGCGCTTCTGCGCCGGGTCGGGTACCCCACCCTCTGGTCCGCCGGAGGGCGGGGCCCCGTGCTGTCCCTAGCGCTGTTTCTTCCATCCTCCGGCGCCGCCTTGGGAGCCCTGGGCGCCGGATTGTTTCCAACCGCCGTGCTGTTGGGACTCATCCCACTGCTGGCTGCGCTTGGCGCCGCCCCAGGTGTTCCAGGTCTGTGCGCCGCCTCGGCCGCCTTGATGCTGCCAGCCCTGGCTGTCGTCGCGACCGCCGCCCCCTCCTTGGTGGGGGTAGTACGGCGTCTGCTGGCCGCCACCGCGGCCGAGCCCCTTGGGCTGCTCTGTCTTCTTGGGTCGTCGTCGCGGCCATCGCCGTCCTTTCCCCTTGGTGGGCTGGTCGTCGATCTCCTGGTGTGTCTCAGTCACCGTCGAGTTGGGCCCGCCGGTTTCCTTGGTGATCTGGACCTGCTTCTTCATGGCAGCCGCCGCGGAGTGGGCGATGACGTGCTCGTTCCAGGAGGCTGCGTCGTCCATGATCGCATTGGTGGCCGCGCCGAAGGTGAGGCCGCGCCGCATCTCGGCGCATAGTTTCCACATGGAGTCGGCCCAGAATGAGTGGACCGCCGGGATCGTCGCCTGTCGCGATCTGGCCTTCTCGCTGAACCAGTCGGTGAAGCGCTCGACGCGCCGTTCTTCGTCATAGCCGCATATGATCCAGGCCCACTTGGCCGCCTCGATCCCGTCGAGCGTGAGCATGATGCCCTTGGGGGTCCACTCGTCGGACTCCTCGGTGACCAGGGCGCCGTCGACGAGCCGGAGGGCCTTGCCTGAGCCCGTCGACTTGTTCGCCGAGATAGTGTTCAGGTCCATCCCCGACGTCCAGGTGCGTCGGGAGACAATCTCGCCGAGGCCCAAGGGCTTGTAGTCCTTGGTCTTGGTGTGCTCGTGCCACAGCCTGGCCAGCACCTCCTCGGCGCCGAGGAGGCGCGCCGCTGGAAAGCGGCGTTTCACCCCGTCGATGGTCTTGGCCTCGTAGGCATTGACCTGCGCCGACCACTGGGCGAAGTGCTTTGGGGGGCGCTCGTCGGCCGCCGAGGTGGCTGTTGGAGCGAGCCCCGCCGCAGGCGCAGCTGCGGGCGGAGGCGCCGGAGCTGAGATCGGCAGCGCCGTGGCAGCCTTCCATTGACGCTGGGCCTCCGTAAAGAGGTGGACCAGGACAGCCTGCGTCACGTCTTCGCTGCCAGGCGCCGCCTTGTGTTCCGTGCCGGCCAAGGTCACGCCGGACAAGAAGGGTTGGACGAACTTCGCCACGAAGTTCGTCGTGTCCTCGGCCACGAGTGCGAGCGTCGGTGTAGAAGAGATCCCCCTCGCCGCGATATAGTTCCGAATCGCTGGCGCCGCACCGGCAGAGACGATGAGGTCGTCCAGGGAAGCCATGGCCGCCGCCACCGTAGGGAAAGCAGCCGCCGGCGCACCAGCCATAGCGAAGGAAGGAGGGGCGTCGGGTAAGAAGCCTAGAAGATCCTAAAAACACTGCGTCGGTAGGTGTGCTAAGCGCGAGCTCAGCCGCCGACTGCCGAAAAGGAGAGAAAGGAGGGGCAGCATTTAAACCCCGTCGCAGCTCAGTCGCTATCAGACGTCGACCCCTCGGACGAGGATGAGGAGCTTCCGTCGGAAGACCCTACCTCCGTGGCCGCGTCGAGCGCCACCACAGGGAAACACCTCTGGCAACGCCGGGGGTCGGGCGGTTCCGCCGACAGCCGGAAGAACTGGCGAATGCCATATGGCCACCCGCACTTCGCCGTCCATTCGTGCTTCTCGGTCGCCGTCTCGTCGGCGCCGGGGAGATGCACTATCTTGGAGCGGGCGTTCATGATGAACCTCGTCGGGTTCTCGCCGACCACCTGTGCCACAGCCGCCGGTCTAAGCGGCGCCGGCACGAAGTCAACCTCCGGCATAGCGTCGGGGGACCTCGTCGGGCTGGCTGCTGTCGGCCTCTCCGCGTCGTCGTCGTCGTCTGGTGCCGGCAGGGCCAAGGGGCTGTGCGATGAGCTCGCCGCCGTGCTGCCGGCTGCCTCTGCCGGCCGAGTGGCCAGGGCTTGTGCCGGTATGGCCGCCGCTGCATAGGTCAGGGGCGCCGCCTGGGTGTACCGTTCGACCGCCGCGCTGGCCCATCGGCCGAGCAGCTGGATGATGGCGATGGCCACGCCCCGTGCCGCCAGAAAGGTGGCGCCGGACACCCTCGCGGCATGGCCCCCGAAGATGGGCACCCGCCGGCCGTCGGGGTGATCCATGTGTGTCTCCACTCCACACGCCGCCAGGACCAGGAGGAACATCTCGATGGACGCCGCTTTCGTCCGAGGCTCCGTGGTAGAGGTGGGGAAAAGCGCCGAGCTAGGTGCCTTGGCCCCGTCGGCGTGGAGCCTGGCCACATGTCTCCTCGCGGCACACGCCGGGCACAGTGGGTGGATCACCGCCGTGCGCAGTCCAGGGGCTCAGGCGCCGCTTGGAATCTGACCAAGGTCGACAGGACGCCGAGGTCGAAGGCCTGCTTCAGTTTCGATCCTGGCATGCCCCGGACCGCCGCCCGGGCGAAGCGCCGGGCTGCTTTCTTCAGGGCCGGTGGCACGTCGAGTTGAAGGACGTGCTCGTGGTGATAGATGGCGGCGTCGAGGTAGAGCTGCGCCGACTTGTAGCCGCCGTCCTTGAGGCACGCCGCCAGCAGCTTGATCCGGTAGTGGTCGAGGGGCCAGGGCTCCACGCCGTGACGCTCTGCTATCTTGAGCCAAAACCTGATGCGGGAGTCCACCGACCGCCGCGTGGTGGAGGCGAACACCGCCGACTCCAGCTCGTCGATGGCCCTCTGGGTGTTCTGCGGGTCGGCCGCCCCCAGCGCCGCCTGCAGTGAGGCCCTCTGCGCGGGGCGTCGGTACGGGATGTCCGCCCGATGTGGTACCATGGCCGACGTCGGTCCCCTGACTGGCCCGGGTTGGGTCGCCGTGGCCAGTGTGAGTACGACCTGCTCGGGGACGCCGGCGGCCACCAATGCCGGCCCGGCTGGTCCCACCGCCGACCGAGATGTGACCCCCAAGGCCGCAAAGCATGACATGTGCGCCCCGCCGCCGGCCGCCGCCACCTCAGCTAGGAAGGCGGCGAAGGTGCCTGGGGCGGGGTCCGCCGCGGAAGCTTGAGCCATCGAGCCGAGATCCTAATTGAGCGCCGGGCTGGCGACAGCGTTTGGGCAAAACGGCTGCGGGTTAGGGTCAAGCGCCGGCAACCGAGAGGAGAGAGAGAGGTGCAAGCACTCGCCGACCGCCGCATTCCGATGCAAACACTCTTTTTGGCGCCGGGGCGCAGCTCCAGGCATGGTCTGTGGAAGGCGTCGAGCTTCGTCGAACGCCGCAAGAAAAACTCTGGTGGATCTCCGCCGGGAGCTCTGTCGTCAGGGTGTCGTCGATCCCGGCCAACGCCGGGTCCAAAGAAAAGCCCCGTCGATACCAAGCTGCCCAGCGTCGGGGTGGCTTCTCAGCGCCGCCCTTGGGCTCGCAGGCCCTCACACGCCGGGCATTTGTGGCTCCCGGATGAGCCGTGTGAGCCGGCCGCGCCGAGGGCGATAGGTCGGAGGCAGCGACCTTCTCCGCCGCACACGGCGTCGCGGTGCGGCACCGTGCACGGGTGCGCGCACCAGCCAACAATCCGCCGCTCCTCCTTGCTGTGCCGCACCGTGATTCTGGCGCCGACCACGCCGGTGGGCAAGCGTCGGAGGAAGGGGTAATCCGCCTCTGGCGGGTCCTCGCCACGCCGTGGCGTCACTGGCCTCCATCGCCCTGAGCTCGCCGAGGCCAGTGTAGGCAAAGCGCCGAAGGTGTGGTGGCACCGCCGTGTCCTCGGCTGACGCGCCGGCCCTCTCCATCAGGCGTTTGTACTCGAAGTACGCCGGAGAGATGTGGCCAACCTCCTCCGCCGTCCACGGGGTGCTGCCCCACCGCCGCGGATCGTACGCCTCATACTGGCGTCGCTCATGGGCCGATGCCTCTCTGCGCCGCCTCTCTGCCCGCATGGCCTGCGTCGGCACTGAGGATCGTCGCCGGCTAGCGTCGGCGGGCGGCTGGCGGATGTATGGGAACTCCTCATTGCTCGCCGCCGCCGCGATCCTGGCCATGGCCTGGGCGTCGAGAGGGTTCTCCCAGGGGACGTCGCCCCAGTCGGCCTGGGCGGGGGCCGCACCCGTAGCGGGGGCCACGCCCGCCGACGCCGAGGCCTCATTGATCCATGAGCTCGCCGAGGACGATGCCGCCTCTGGGCCCTGCCTGGTCGTCGTCGAGGTCTGCGGGATGGGCCTGTCCGCCGCAGAGGCTGCGGCTGTTGAGTGGCTCGCCGAGGTGCTCATGGGCGGGTCGTCGAAGGGGTTGGGCGTCGGCGGGTAGACCACCGGCTCCGCCGTCTCAATGTTCTCCGCCGCCACGGTGACCGTCGCAGCGATCCCCAGACCCGGGTGTATGGGCGCCGCCTCGGCGCCGCCGCCCCTGTTGGGATCAATGACCAACGCCGTGGGAGGCACCAACGGCGTCGGAGGGGCTTTGTGGCGGGCGCTGCCAGTGGGAGACGCCGCTCCTGAGGCCGCCGCCGAAGCCTCCTCCATGGCGTCGAGGCCAGTAAAGAAGGGACGCCGCCCGGCAGGCGTCGAGGATGAGGCAGGGCGAGACTGCGTCGCCTGAACATTCAACGCCGCGACAATCTCCCTGGCGTTGGGCGGGCCTCGCCGCCCCGACTGTGCGGGTGTCGTCGTCCCAGAGGAGGGCATTGAAGTGAGCGCCGCGACCTGCCATGTGTCGGCCCTGGACGCCAACAAGGACGTCGCCTTGGCCTTGGTGGCGGCGTCGATGAAGTAATCAGCCCTCGCCGGTGTCGTCGTCCCTGATGCCGGCACCGAGGGTGGCGCCGATGGCAATGGGGCCAGCTCCCCAGGAGGCGTCGCCTGCACAATGGCCGGCGTCGATCTGCCTGAGGGCGTCGGTGCGGTAGCCATCGGGGTGGGCGCCGCCGCCGTGGAAGGGCCAACGGGCGGGGACCCAACCTCCGCCGTCCCGCTCAGAACCGGCTGTTCCAACACCACGTCGTCACCATCCTCGTCGCCCTCGGGGATGGACGTCGGCACAAAGGGCAGGCTGCCTGTGCCGCCGGTGCCACCACCCACTGCATCCGCCGCAACCTCCGCCGAAGCCTCCAACGTCGCTCCTTGGACCATGCCAACCATGAACTGGCTCGTCGCGTGCCCAGCGTCGATGAGGTCCGCCATCTGGTCCGCCGTGAGCAAACCAATGACTGGGACCCATCCTGTGCGCCGAGCCGCCGCGAGAGCATCAGCCAACATCTGCGCAGCCGCCGCAGGAGGAAGAGACATGGCCGTCGGAACGAGGGAGCTAGAAGAAAAGCTTAGGCGAAAGTCGCGTCGAGCCAGAGTGCTGAAGGCAGCTACGCCGTTCACGGTTGTTACTACGCACACAAGTGTGCTTCACGAAAATAACTTTCTAAAAGCTCCTGTGAAACGGCAGAGGTGCCTTGTCCGAGCCGCTGCACGAAAGAATACTTCTCCATGGAAAAGGGAGAGCACCTCGATCGCTCAGCGATCAGCACATTGCCAACAGCAGTGTAAGCTTGCGATCCAGTATATTCTAGTAAGCTGCCGACTCGAATGGCTCCCCCTCCTGGTTTTTAGCCTGCCTCCATCTTGGATCGGACTGCGTGCGACCCGTAAGCTTTTACTATACTGCAAGGCTTGTGGCTGCTTTGGGCAACATGCTAATTAGACCTCTCAGTTTCTGCTGGGTGAGGTGGTTACATAAGTCTGCCAAATCTGCTGTGGCTCTGCATGCAACAGCACCACTTGAATTTAGCTGCAGTGTGTCATGACTTAGGTTGATAAGAAGAGTAAGTGGTGGGAGTGACGACACACTTGTTCTCCTCCCTCACACAGGGACAGCTTGCACCCATACTCCCTTTTGTCACTACTGTTTATCACTCACGGCACTGGTGCAGGCAAGCCAAGAACGCATGGGCAATCAGGTGATGTCAGTCACTGTTCAGGCTGGTTGCCATCTCACGATTGCATGCCCATGCAACGATGCAAACTCCTGGCCAACATCCATCGCTTCATCCTAGCAGGGGACCCTCTCCAGATGCGCAATGCACAAGTCGACATTGACATTTGATGCATGTGCATCGTATCTTGACATGCATCTGTACGATGTGGGTCCTGAGCTCCGTCTGCCTTCTCGCCATTCCCGTCCTCTGCATCCTGCTAGCATACACAACCCTCCTCTCGAGTCAACGCGGGTACGGAATGCACAGCTGTGACCAACTATGGAAAACACCTGTTTCGGGAAGTCCTGCACATCTTCGTCACTGTCGTCTGCTGCAGCCTGCGTGCTTGCGAGTTGTCGGCTGTGTTGACGGCTTCACCACTGCACTGACTACCACTCACTACACACTGTGCAGTGCTGCACAATAACAAACTTGAGCCTCTTCCTTTTCTGCTGCATCATCCTTTTCTGCTGCCTCCTCCTTTTCTGACTCTTCGTTCGTTGGGCCCTTATCTTGGTGCCGATCACTGCAGAGAGTCAGCTCGAATGAACAGGCATCTGTCTGCCTGGTTTTGCTGCCAAGGAACTTCAACACTAGCACGCGTTGCTGCACTGGCCTGAGCCAAACTTAGACATTGGACTGCCCTGGGCTGGTTGCAATTCTGACACAGCAGCGGACTGCACATTCTGAAGATTCAGCTCGCCTTGGCAGCAACCTTCGAGCGGATGTTAGCCAATTCCTAGGAAACATGGTCTGCACATGTCTTCACTCGCGGACGTAGCTTGCGTTTCGAAGTGCCCCGTTTCTTGAGGAAACGGCCGCTGCAGTGAGGGCAGAGATGCTCGAAGCCGCGATGTAATCTTCCTCATGAGGGGAAGGAACAAAGGTCAGGAAGCGTTAATATCAAACGGCGGAGACAGCGTCTTTTCGTGTTTGTCCTGGAATTTCTTCCACATCCTGATCACCGAACGGCCGGGCCTTGGCTACAGTGGCTTGCACAACTCCACATCAACGAGCAACATGAAGAAAGCATAGAGCAACAAGACATTTTTGCACGCCGGGCTGTGGCGGAGCATGCAGTACAAGTATGCGGATAGCAAACAAGCCGAAGAGAGGCAACCTGTTGGCCGTTCACTCTGCTGTCATAGCCTTTCTCTTTCGAAGTGCACAATCTCCCAGGTGACCACTGCGACTCGACATGGAAGCTTCAATCTTGTTGCTCCCGGCAGCAATGGCGATGTAGGTGTGCACGTGTGTTAACGTGCAGTAGAAGATTGACAAGCCGTAGAAGCACCTTCGAGTCTGCCAATCAGCAGCTGTCCGCGACACCTCTGTTCCGCCAAGCAGAACCTCGGCCATGGCCAAGTTGCACCGCGACAAGCCGCTGTGCAAGCCGCAAGCCCATCCAACTGCTTCGCGAGCTTGCAATGTTTGAACAGACACTGGGTGCGTGGCTCATCATGTCAATGTCGCCGGCTTACTTGTCCTCCGCGGAATGTAACTCTCAGCAGTCGGGCTTGGCGGCTGATGCTTGGCATTTCGCTAGTTTGCTCCTCCATTATGGACCGTAGTGGACCGTGGATTGTCTTCGGCCACCACTTTCACAGGCTAGCGCGTCCGGATGATCTGGCCCCAGCGTCTCATGCAAACCTGAGCTTGAAGCGCCAACTGAAAGCATAGTAGGAGCATTTTCCCGCAGTGCTTCGCCTGCTTCTCGGCGACGGTTCTGATGTGATGCGGTGCTCCTTTTCCTTTAAAGTTTGCTCTGCTTGCCTTGACGACGATGATGTGGTGCTCCTTTCCTTCAGCGTAAACTACTCAAAGGCGGGGAGAAGGACCAGGGGGCAATGATCCACGGCATCGAGATGCGTCGCTGATAACGGCTTTGCTCACTACGTTTTCCCATGCATTCGCACTAGCACTTACGGTGCTAGTTGGGGGGGTCGTGCATTAACATACAGTCGTATAGTCGACGGTTGTGCTGCCTGTTTCTGTGGGGTAAGGCTCTGAGGGTTACTGCCGTACTCCAGAGCTGTCTCATTGCTGCAGTCTCGAAGAAGGGACGCAGCTAGGTGTTAGAAGCGCCCTGCATTGCTTAATGCTGCAGCCCCAACTTGGGCAGTTCTACAGTCAACTGGCATGCTCCGGTGTAGTGTTACTTGCACCGTGACGTAGCCTCCTGCACCGACACAATGTTTGCGTGAATTTCTGCGTAGACTTCTCGCCCTCGCCCCCAATCCCAGCAGGCAGAGAAGACCAGCGGCGGGTGAGCGTAAAGAATAAGACTGTTCGAGGGACCTGAGCTGAATCGACATTCGCGCTAGCAAAGCAAAAGCAAGCCCGAGCTCACTGCACTGGGACAGCAGAAGAGCTCGCCACATTCAGCACTGATGCAATTCTCGCCTCGAAAAGGCTGAGAGTCTGACGAGTCGACTGTAGCCCGATCTTGCTCGGACCCGGACGACACCGCTCCGAAGTTTCGAGGCGATGGCACCGGCATACACGGTCCGGGTGTCAGCTGCGAGAACCCAGCTGCAACAGTGCGTTTGCGCTGAGTTGCTACTGCCCGGTGAGGCACATGACCAAAGGACACAAAATCTGAGTTTCTTAAGCTGTGGATCTGCCCGTGGATCATGCGACAACGACATGAAACTGATATGCGTGGCTCATCACGTGCAGCGGCTGCGTTTCCGTAAGATCTGCAAGCAAGGAAGCAAGCAAGTAGAACAATGCAGCAAGGTACGCAATCCATGCCGATTAAGCTTCTCGCCCTTTGGCGCTGTTCAAGGGCCAGTCCTCGTCAGGGGATTTGTGCGTAAGCGTACTACAGCACCATAGCTGGCATAGCATTCTCGATTAGACCTAAGTCGACTGTCCTGACCGAGAGACACACGCAGAACTCCGCCTTCCGCTGTTGCCACAACTAGTGCAGAGTTTGCCGTGGCCTGCAAAAGTCAGGGCAGCCTCCCACCTCACTCTCCTGTGTGTGCAATTACGGTACTTCTTCAGAAGAGCTGACGACCAGCTTCACACATGCTTGCACTTGCTGGCAGCTGCTCGCATGCGCAAGAAGTGGCAAGGACAACACACTTCTCCTTGTGCGCCCACTGCAACTCATCGTCAGGAGCCTTGCTGGACTGCAACACGGTACAGAGAAAACAGCTTGTGCTGACAGAAAACGCTTGGACCAAGTCCGCCTGCACCAAGTGTATAAGGTCTTGGTCTTTGCAGCGAGGCTCGAGTGACGCGGCGACAGGTGCAAGTGCAGGCTTCGCCCACTGAGGTCTTCCTAAGAGTACTTGTGCCAAAGGCACTACGATTAGCTGCATGTCGACCCTAGCTGCATGAAACTTCTCGGCAGTGCGGATCGTGACAAGCCTTCTCAAAGAAGATACGGGTTGACGTTGATCCGTTTAGACGGATACTGGTGCTTGCTCTGTCGCGGATTCTCGGGCCATAACTCGATTGAACACGAAAGCCACCACTGTACGTCCGATTCAATCACCTGTTTCTTCTCTAGCTCAGAAGCGGAAACACTGTGCTCTGAGTTCCGCGCCAATTTCATGCAGGGGAGTCCCTTGCCCGGGCGCAGGCCGCGAAAGCGGTCAATAGATACCTGCAGGCCAACTGTGAGCGAAGAGCTTGGCAGCAGTACCTACTGTGCGCATCTGTGCGCTTGAGCGGGCTGCAGAGTGACTGTCACGAAACTGAAGCCTTTACGAACATGTCACGGTCCGAAAACGACCGGGTGCGACGCACATGTTGGATCACGCAAACTGGACGTCGGCCTTCTTGGCGAAGCCCTTTTTGGACACCAGCACCACGAATTCGTCTGTTTGGTCCCTGAGCCGAGCTAAATGATGATCCTCCGAACCGAGTGCTCCTCCCTATTATCCCAATTCTTCAGGCATAGGCATGTACTCACGGGCCTCAGGCAGCGATGAGCGACAGTGACCAGGGCCGTTATGCGATGATCCTGGAGCTCGGGCAGAAAGTCCTGCGTTCAAGGCAGTTTGGTCCGGATATCAGCTGGCTTCCGCCGGCAACTGTGCGTCAGCTCCAAATAAGTTCACCTATCGGCGCTGACGTCAGGGCTTGGCGAACCCCAAATTCGGCCGGCAGGTCCTTCAACTCTGCACCCTGCATGCTGCATTTCTTGACCAAGGGGACGTCCAGTGCCTCTTCGGACACCAAGCAACAGCTCTAAGCATGCACTGCCACCAAAACGCCTGCAACATGTAAACATACCCGTGCTCGGAGAACACCAACAAGGCATCGAAATCATGACCTGCAGAGAGCAAGCTGGCAAGCAAGGTTTGACCCGAACCTGTCCATTATGCCGGCCTGCTCGGTAAACTTGGGCTTCGAATCGTCGGTCATTAACTTTGCACCACTGCTAGCTACTACCACTCAATACCATCCTCTACCACCTACTACTTATCACGTTTTTTATGCTTAAGTTTATGCTGCCACCAAAAGGTGCAAATCCTACGACGCCGACAACGACTTCAGCCACAAGTACGAATGGTGCCACCGGTACAAGTGCTGGTACTGCTACTACTAATGACAGCAGCAGCAGCAGCAACAGCAACAATAGCAAACAACAACAAACAACACAAACAAAACAAAGAACACAAAAAAACACAAACGGCACCAACAACAGCACCACCAACGACAACAACCATCACCACCACCTCCACCACCATTTTATTGGACGAGCGGGCTCTGCTCGTAGCGGGCGAGTAACCACCACCACAACAACAACAACTTTTTTCTCGGGAAGGGACTCGCAAAAGGTCTCAAGCATCGATGCTGCCAGGGTTCAAGCCGCTTGGCCACCTGGAATCGGCTCCCTTTGTTGAGGGACAAAAGGAACGAGGTGCGATTCTCTTTCCCCCAAAATGGGGGGGCCCCTCGGGCTACCTAACCGAGGTGCGACACGCTCTCCCAAAAAAACCTGCTGTCACGAGGTGCGGCCGCACTCTGGATTAACCGCCCCGGTTTGGTGACCTTCTGCCCTACCCCACAAGGGACAGCTTGTCTGGCTTGAAGGTGGTGCCTCGTGCGTGTGTGGTGGAGCCGGAGCCCGCAGCGACTGCAAAGAAGGTTTGCATTTTCTCATTCCCACACATGGAAGCCACTATCGTGTCATTTGGGGTTTTCATTTCCGATTGGGTGTTTCACCCTCCGAGTCCTGCCGTGGAAAGAAAGCAAAAAAAGCACAAAAAACACCAATTATGTCATGCTTTGAAGCTGAGTTTTGTGGAGCCAACACACATGTTTTCATGCTTTGGGCACACACATACACCGAAATATTTGTGCATATTTTAAATGTTTTGCATGTTTTCCTCTGGTGTGCTCAACTGTCGTTTTGCCAAATCAAACTTGTTGTCAGCAAATCACATGGCAAACCGTTTTTTAACACCACACATCACACTCATGGAACAGTTTTGCAGCAGCTATGAACACGACCCTAAACTCTTAAACCCTAAGCCGACTCCCTAAATCCCAAGTCTTAAACTCTTTGGTTGCTAGGGCTTAGATGGTTTTGGGTGCAGGGATATTAGTCTTCGGGGTCATTCAGGGTGCCTCGGTGGGGGTTGAACAAGCCCCCTCTTGGCTTAGTGGGGTGATAGGGTTATTCAGGGTGCCTTGGTGGGGGTTGAACAAGCCCCCTCTTGGCTTAGGCAAGTAGTGGGGTTTTTAGGCAGGTGCTGGAGTTTTTCAGGGTGCCTTGGTGGGGGTTGAACAAGCCCCCTCTTGGCTTAGGCAGGTAGTGGGGTTTTTTGCAGGTGTTGAGTTGTTCAGGGTGCCTTGGTGGGGGTTGAACAAGCCCCCTCTTGGCTTAGGCAGGTAGTGGGGCTTTATGCAGGTCTTGAGTTGTTCAGGGTGCCTTGGTGGGGGTCGGCTCGGGTTTTGGGGTTGGGGTTTAGAGTGCTTGCCCAGAAGCCCGAAGCAAGACCCTAAATGCCAAAATTCTTTAACCCTGAACCCTAAACCCAAACCCCCGAAGCCCTACTCCCCTGAGCTCTGAACATGATGCCTCATCCTGAATTGTAAGGCTAAACTCATCCATAGCAATAGTTGCCAAGCCCCCAATTTGCACATGCCATCAACCTTCACCTCAGCCCTGGTAACCCTGAACCCCTGAACCTTATGCTCGAAACCCCGAACCACATAAACCCTGAACCTGAGGCCCTGAACCCCTTGACCTTAAACCCTATAGCGCCTCTAACCCTGTCGTTGCAGGCCTTTAAGAGCCCTAACCTTTACACCCTAAACCCCCAAACCCTACACCTGCGGTGGCACAACACTGCTTGCGCCCGACGACGAGGCATGGCATTCGCTTGCAACCGGTTGGGTTCTGTATTTTTCTCACACAACCATGAATTGAGATGATTCTTAGTTGCAGGTTTCTGCTGCAAAAAAACAGGTTGCAACCAGTTGCGTTCTGTAACTTGTGGCAAAACCCATCAATTCAGATGACTTGAATACAGGTTTCTGTGGCAAAATACAGATTGCAACCAGTTGCGTTCTGTAACTTGTGGCAAAAACATCAATTCAGATGACTGGAATTTTGAATACAGGTTTCTGTGGCAAAATACAGATTGCAACCAGTTGCGTTCTGTAACTTGTGGCAAAAACATCAATTCATATGACTTGAATACAGGTTTCTGTGGCAAAAAACAGATTGCAACCAGTTGCGTTCTGTAACTTGTGGCAAAAACATCAATTCAGATGACTTGAATACAGGTTTCTGTGGCAAAAACCAGATTGCAACCAGTTGCGTTCTGTAACTTGTGGCAAAACCATCAATTCAGATGACTTGAATACAGGTTTCTGTGGCAAAATACAGATTGCAACCAGTTGCGTTCTGTAACTTGTGGCAAAAACATCAATTCAGATGACTGGAATACAGGTTTCTGCTGTGGCAAAATACAGATTGCAACCAGTTGCGTTCTGTAACTTGTGGCAAAAACATCAATTCAGATGACTGGAATACAGGTTTGTGTGGCAAAAAACAGATTGCAACCAGTTGCGTTCTGTAACTTGTGGCAAAACCATCAATTCAGATGACTTGAATACAGGTTTCTGTGGCAAAATACAGATTGCAACCAGTTGCGTTCTGTAACTTGTTGGAAAACCATCAATTCAGATGACTTGAATACAGGTTTCTGTGGCAAAACACAGATTGCAACCAGTTGCGTTCTGTAACTTGTGGCAAAACCATCATTTCAGATGACTTCAATACAGGCTTGTGTAGCTAAACACAGATTGCAACCAGTTGCGTTCTGTAACTTGTGGCAAAAACATCAATTCAGATGACTGGAATACAGGTTTGTGTGGCAAAAAACAGATTGCAACCAGGTGCGTTCTGTAACTTGTGGCAAAACCCATCAATTCAGATGACTGGAATACAGGTTTCTGTGGCAAAATACAGATTGCAACCAGTTGCGTTCTGTAACTTGTGGCAAAACCATCAATTCAGATGACTGGAATTTTGAATACAGGTTTCTGTGGCAAAATACAGATTGCAACCAGTTGCGTTCTGTAACTTGTGGCAAAAACATCAATTCATATGACTTGAATACAGGTTTCTGTGGCAAAAAACAGATTGCAACCAGTTGCGTTCTGTAACTTGTGGCAAAAACATCAATTCAGATGACTTGAATACAGGTTTCTGTGGCAAAAACCAGATTGCAACCAGTTGCGTTCTGTAACTTGTGGCAAAACCATCAATTCAGATGACTTGAATACAGGTTTCTGTGGCAAAATACAGATTGCAACCAGTTGCGTTCTGTAACTTGTGGCAAAAACATCAATTCAGATGACTGGAATACAGGTTTCTGCTGTGGCAAAATACAGATTGCAACCAGTTGCGTTCTGTAACTTGTGGCAAAAACATCAATTCAGATGACTGGAATACAGGTTTGTGTGGCAAAAAACAGATTGCAACCAGTTGCGTTCTGTAACTTGTGGCAAAACCATCAATTCAGATGACTTGAATACAGGTTTCTGTGGCAAAATACAGATTGCAACCAGTTGCGTTCTGTAACTTGTTGGAAAACCATCAATTCAGATGACTTGAATACAGGTTTCTGTGGCAAAACACAGATTGCAACCAGTTGCGTTCTGTAACTTGTGGCAAAACCATCATTTCAGATGACTTCAATACAGGCTTGTGTAGCTAAACACAGATTGCAACCAGTTGCGTTCTGTAACTTGTGGCAAAAACATCAATTCAGATGACTGGAATACAAGGTCTGTGGCAAAATACAGATTGCAACCAGTTGCGTTCTGTAACTTGTGGCAAAACCATCAATTCAGATGACTGGAATACAGGTTTCTGTGGCAAAATACAGATTGCAACCAGTTGCGTTCTGTAACTTGTGGCAAAACCATCAATTCAGATGACTGGAATTTTGAATACAGGTTTCTGTGGCAAAATACAGATTGCAACCAGTTGCGTTCTGTAACTTGTGGCAAAAACATCAATTCATATGACTTGAATACAGGTTTCTGTGGCAAAAACCAGATTGCAACCAGTTGCGTTCTGTAACTTGTGGCAAAAACATCAATTCAGATGACTTGAATACAGGTTTCTGTGGCAAAAACCAGATTGCAACCAGTTGCGTTCTGTAACTTGTGGCAAAAACATCAAATCAGATGACTTGAATACAGGTTTCTGTGGCAAAATACAGATTGCAACCAGTTGCGTTCTGTAACTTGTGGCAAAAACATCAATTCAGATGACTTGAATACAGGCGTCTGTGGCAAAACACAGATTGCAACCAGTTGCGACCTGTAACTTCGTAGTCGTAGTAACAGTTGAGAGATCTAGGGCCGTTGAGGTCCTCGGGTTTAGAGGTCAGGGTTAAGGGTTTAGGGCTAGTGCATCATGTCACATCAGGCATGTCATGTCATGCCATGTCATGTTCTGGAACCCTAAACCCAAAACCCTAAACCGCGGCACATAATGCATGATATGCCATGTCCTGTTCTGGTTTAGGGGTTTAGGGGTCCCATCTCGGCTCGGGTTGGGGGGTTGGGGTTTAGGGTGCCTATGAAGTCGCACAAGACGATCCTTTGCAAAGAGCCATTGTTTCATGGCACACGGTCGTGGACGGAAGATTGAAAGGCCCGGATACATGAAAACGCTAATGAACTTTGCTCGTCATCCAAAAAGGACGGCTTCCAGAATAAGACCACACACATCATGATCTAGCCACCCATGTGTGCCTCGTAAGCATTGGGGCTCACCTGGTACAGATTTGTGGCCAGCATGCACAGGAAGTCACATGTCAAGCATGGGCGGACATGTTGGCTGCAAAGAACCGCACCGCCAGATGTTAGGCTCCAGCTCTTCTTACAGCCTGCAGGAAGTCCGGATGGTGCAAGCTGGTATGCGTCCGAGGGTGAAACTGTCAAAGCAGGAGATCAATTAGATCAGGTCTCTGCATAAATGTCTCGCACCACAGCCACTACAGGTAAAGTGAGGGTTGATGCATGTCTAAACCCGGCCTGCGCAAGAGCGGCAGGGAGGCCGCAAGGGAACTGCCATCAGCCTCGTAGTGAAAAAGGGTTGGGGTTGGGGGTTTAGGGGAGTCGGAGCTGAGCTGAGGATTGACTGTGACTGTGGTGTTTATGGAGCATCCCAGCTTCGATTTGATTGCAAGAGTTTCTTCGGATTTTCGGTGCTTAACACTGCCCTGGCACTCACTTTTTTCTTCATCAATACCCCAGAAGCATCTCAGGTCCCCAGCAAAAGACACATCGTTTGTGCATCTTCAATCCCCCAAAAGTGAGCCCCTCATGAAGTTCGTGGCATTGATCCACTGGCAGTGCGCTGCAATCACTCGTGCCTTGTTCTGCTTAAGGCTGCACAGCAGGATTTTCTTTAACTTGTCCATGTCGTCACTTGAAACCCTGGCTGACAAGTCCATCCCAGCAAAAACCAGAGCCAAAGCAGATTCTCTGCTGAAGGGAGGTATAGCACCAGGATTGGGCTTCAGGTTATCGAGCATGTTGTGGGCATTGCACATGATCGAATGCAAGTCAGCCATTGTCAGGAAAGCCCGCAGATCGTTGAAGAGATTCAAGAGGGCCTCTTTGTAAGTCTCGACATGGTTTATGTGCTCTTGGTAAGTCTCGACATGGTTGTCCACCGCCCGTCTTTTCTGAGTCACTCCGTCGAGACTGAGCTTCCTCCGTAACCTAATCGTCGGCACCATCCTGTTGTTGCATCCTCGCTTTGTTGGCCTGCACCTGCTGCACATCTTGTCACGCCGGTAAGTTCGGCGCGTTGTGCAGAGCAAGCATTGCCACGCCATGATTAGCAACTAGAGTTCGGAATGTTCTCTCTACTTGACTCAACCACTGTTCAGATCATTGTGTGCTTCCTGTCTCCGTTCGTCCTCTGCTTCTGCAGTGTGCATGGAAAAAAACGACTGTGAGGGTACGGCTGCAGGCTTGGCATTGGGGGTTAGGGATAAGAGATGCAGACCAGTCAGTTCGGTTTCGGCTTCAGTGCCCATGTCATGGCATACACATCATTTCCTGTTGGGGTTTACGAGCTAGGGTGTGTAGGGCAGAGCACTAGCAATGTGGAAGTCAGTGTTCAGGCGATTGCACAAGTCCTGATGCAAAAAGGGGCAGAGCACTACAGGCCCGCCTGCTCCAACTCCGGGCATCGGCTGTCGCAAGCAGATTGGTCGGACCTGCCCAGACAAAACAAACTGTCACAGTCAAGCAGTTATGTCCTGCATTCACAGCAGTGCACTGCACACAAGCCGCAGCGACATGGACCCACTACTACTACTGCTGCTGGAGTCTCGGAAAGCATTGCTTTTGCACCCACCAGCCCCGGGTCATCTTGTGTGCGTAGACGGCACTGTACACTCGCACACCATCTTATGCTTAATTTTCGGCCATGAAGGATCTCAGGAAACAAAGCAGAGCACTTGCTCCTCCGTTGCCTTTTTCATCTGACCCTTTGTCTCATCGTCCGTCTGCCTGTACTGCCTGATCTGCCGGCGCCAAATGCATGCCTGGGTCTCCCAAGGTCTCTTCGGGGTGTATACCATGGCTTCCGGAGTTGGGCATCGCACATTTGTAGGGCACATCTTGGCCTCTGCAGCTTTCATGACTTTGTACTCCGGTCTCTGCTTCATCCTCTCCACGAATCTCGCTCTCTTCGGTAAGGAGAGGTCCGTCATTGCAGAGAGAAGTCGTGAAGGCACGAGTCTAAGGCTGCAGAGAGAAGTCGCACAGGGACGAGTCTAAGGCAAGCGGTTTCTTTGAGCAGTGAACCGAGCGGATGCAGGACAATCAAAAGCCTGGGGCACCATCAAACATCCTTAAATCCTGCTCTGCCAGGTGCTCGTGGGTTCTTTTGCATCCTCCGAATCATGACAAATCTTAACTCTCAACCAAGCTGCACCGACCCCTGCCCGGCCTGGAATTTCTTGGATGTCATAGCACTGCCGAAGAAGTAGTCAAGTGCTTCCCTCCAGGCTTCCTGCATCACAGCTGCATTAGACAAATTCCCCAGTCGCACAGTAGTACATCCTTAGACTCCGGTCCAATGCCATCTATAGCCACCTATATACCAAATCCATACATTTGAAAGGCTAATACCGTTCTATGTAGCAAGACTCAGATTGCAACCGGTTGGGTTCTGTAGTTTTCTCAGACAGCCATGAATTGAGATGATTCTTAGTTGCAGGTTTCTGCCACAAAAAACAGATTGCAACCAGTTGCGTTCTGTAATTTGTGGCAAAACCATCAATTCAGATGACTTGAATACAGGTTTGTGTACCAAAACACTTAGTCGTAGTAACAGTTGAGAGATCTAGGGCCGTTGAGGTCCTCGGGTTTAGAGGTCATGGTTAAGGGTTTAGGGCTAGTGTATCATGTGACATCAGGCATGTCATGTCATGCCATGTCATGTTCTGGAACCCTAAACCCAAAACCCTAAACCGTGGCACATAATGCATGACATGCCATGTCCTGTTCTGGTTTACGGGTTTAGGGGTTGCATCATACATGGTTTAGGGCTAGTGAGTCAGGTTACATCAGGCATGTCATGTCATGTTCTGTTTTAGGGGCTTAGGGTGACATAATGCATAACATGCCATGCCATGTTGTGGTTTAGGGGTTTAGGGGTCGCATCAGACATGTCATCCCATACCATGTTATGTTTTATTGGTTTAGGGGTTGCATCATACATGGTTTAGGGCTAGTGAGTCATGTCACATCAGGCATGTCATGTCATGTTCTGTTTTAGGGGCTTAGGGTGACATAATGCATAACATGCCATGCCATGTTGTGGTTTAGGGGTTTAGGGGTCGCATCACACATGTCATCCCATACCATGTTATGTTTTATTGGTTTAGGGGTCGCATCATGCATGCCATCCCAAGGCATGTTCTGGTTAAGGGATCACATCAGGCCTGTCACAACATGCAGTCAAGTGCCCTTCGGTTTAATAGTGATGCAACCCTTTATGTAGGCCTGTGCTGTGACACTTTTACTCCGGCAGCTCGTCTGCTTCATCGTCCTCAGGCCCTGGGGGCAAGTTGCCTCCTCCATCTGCCTGCACATGTATCGGCCGGTACTCTTCTGGTGCCAGTGGAGCCCTTGCAGCTGCAGGAGCAAGAGCATCAAACGCATGCCTTGTCAGGGCAGTTTAAGCCGCAAACCCACACTCAATTCACAGCTCATCTGCATGCTGCAGCAAACTCTTGCTTTACAAAATGAACAGGAATGACTCAAATCCCTTCTTGAGATGGCCTGTTGTGGTTCAAGAACTCATACTGGGCAGGTCGCGGGTGTCGTCTCAAAGTGCCCTTGGCCCAGCCGACCAAGAAATCACGAGCAGCATCCTTGGCTTCCCGAAGAACTTGGCAGACCAGTGCCAGAAGCAAAGAAAATCAATTACTTAGAGTTTACAGCACAGCGGCATTGATGCACCCTTCTCGGTGAGCCTGCAATGCTTTCGCAACCACTTTGTCCCGGTCCTTCACAGCTTTTCGCGGGTAAACACCTGACGGCTGCCTTGACAATCTGGCTCGCAGCGCCGGAACCTCTGTCCCAGGTACCAGAAGACAGACTTGAAAATGCCTCCGTGAAGCCATTCGCTGGCGCACCACACAAACTACATCATCAGGATGGGACGGTGGGGCACCTGGCCATGTTGTCACAGGCACTTGCAGGTAGCCGAGATCTTTCAAGGTCGTGATCTCGAACCTTGCTTCCGACACTTTCGGGTTTAGGGTCTGCTGCTCCGGTTCAACAAATTGTTCCAGCAGAAAAGAGGTTCCATGCAGCTCGAGTAGCGAATGGGGGGCCTTCGGGCCTGTCAGGTTGGAGAAGACCAAACCGACCTCCTCCCACCAGCTCTGCCAGTTGGCTTGCTCATCGCCTTGCGATCAAACCATTCATGGCTGCTACTTCAACTGAGGACACAAAACAGATCCAAAAATCCTCTGAGTTAAGCTGCCGAGTTGCCCTTCCAGGCACCTCTGAAGCTTGCTCCCCCATCCACAGTGGACTGCTGCAGGAACCCATCGTAGATCCCCACCAAACTGTCAGCATCGGAGAACTCGCAGGCACTGCATTTGGTGACAGCCTGCCCTCCGAGCCCATCAAGTGGCCCGTGAGTGTGCCCCTTGCTGGGATATTGCAGGCTTATCCTCTCACACCTGCAGCAAATGGAGCTTGACACACCAGGACAGGAGGAGACCGTTTTTGCAGTCCCGACTGCAGTTGTCCTGTACGATGCAGATGTGGACAGGAAGTGCTTGATTGCAGTTGTTGTAGACTTTGTCGAGAAGCCGAGAAATTCCCTCCACATTGGAATTTGTATTCTTGTAGACATCTGCATCCTTGATCTCAAACGCCAGCGCATGGCCCTGGGCCCAAAGCATGAGCACTGACAAGCTTGGACGCAGCAGGGCTTCAAAGCCATGAGTCTTCGTCATAGACCTTGGGCACTTGTGCTTTGCCTGGTCCAGGCCGTCGGCCCTGATCAAGACTACACTCAGGGACCGCTGGATGTCCCGGAGTCGGACCCCCATTCCTTTCTTGCAAAGCTGGGCAAGAAAACCGAAGTGTGCTTAGTGTTGTACACAAAAAAGCAGCAACCCATGCATGGCAAGACGAGGAACTCAAACTTGTTCGTAGCTGAACACTAAGAGCTGCCCATCGCAGATCAGCCTCCCGATCCTGCCATTGTAGCATGAGGTGCCTGATGTAATCATCCAGGGTCCTTGGTCAGGACCGAAGTTACTCGTCACATTTTGGGACTTGGGTTCTCATGTCTGTTTTGGGCTGCCCAGCCGCTGTTGCCTCTCAGCCGGACTGAGATGCTGCCGGAGCCTTTGCTTGAAGCTCCTGAGGTCGCTGGTCGATAGGCAGGACATGAACTGACACAGCAATAGGCAGGACATGAACCGAGCCAGCAGTGCAGCCCGGCAGCCAGCAAGTGTCACAGACCGCATGTTCACCAGCATTCTTTCTGAACTTCAACCACCCACGGCACTCTCGGACTGCTCGGCAGAATGTTGTGAACGATGGCACAGGGTGACTGTTTTCCCTTGCCCACTGCTGCAGCCAGAGGAACATCATCGATGGCCGCGCCACACCCAGGTACCGTCTTGCACCTGCACCGACACCTGGACCGGTCAGCACCTTTTCAGGCGCTTCCAGTAAACAGCAGCACTGAAGCGAGCACGATGCCACTGCACGAGCTTCAGCATCTTCAGCAGCATCCACATCCGAAGAGGAGGACGACCCACTTCTCGCTGCCGATTGCTGCTGCCTTCAGAACTGCAGCACATCGCCACACTCAAGCTTGATTACAAGCATGTCACATTACAAAAACAACAAACTGAAGCTGGTGGAAGGAGGGACGAATGCACTATTGTAGTCCTGTGGCTGCCAACAGAGCTTGTCTCGAATCTGAATTTGTCTGGCATGCCTTCAGCATCGAACTGGTACCGATGCCACAAAAAGAGCTTGCAAACCCGCAGCATGGGAGAGCTGGCCGGGTTCTTCGACCGAATGGAGTTTGCCTCACGGCGCCTGTCTGGCTGCCCTTGCAATACCTTGTGATCTCAGTGAAGTGGCCCAGCAACAAAGGAGTCAATGAAGCTAACAAACGTCTTGCATGTTGCAGTCCTGGCAACTCTGTGTACCCGAGATGCACCCACCTGGGCTCAGGGCTCGGACTATCAAGACATGTATCCCTAACCTGGGCAAAGCTAAGCAGGGAAACTCACACTCCAGATGAGCTGCACGAAGAAAGGCATATGCACTCTTCAGGCAAACTTTCAAGTCATCTGCAGGGACGATGCCTGCCAGTTGTACAGAGGGCCTCTTGGTAGCAATCCTTGTTTTGTAGTGCTTCCTCTTCTGGGGCTTCGAAGGCTTGCCGTCCTCGCTGGACTGCAGGTCCAACTCATCAGATTCGGGCTCAGAAGTTGATTCGCAAGCCTGATCTGCATGGCCGGGCTCAGAAGTACCTTCTGGATCACTGGTCACCTCATCTGGGCCCACATTTTCATGAGGTGCAGAGCTTGTGGAGGAGCTCCTTCTCCGTTTCTTCGCCACTCTGACAGCTGAGGAGGACTGCACCTCCCTCTCATGTTCATGAGGTGCAGGGCTGGTGGAGGAGCTCCTTCTCCTTCTCTTCGCCATTCTGACAGCCGAGGAGGACTGCACCTTCCTCTCACATTCATGAGGTGCAGGGCTGGTGGAGGAGCTCCTTCTCCTTCTCTTCGCCATTCTGACAGCCGAGGAGGACTGCAGCTTCCTCTTATTGCTCTGCTTCTCTTCGCGGTCTGATACCATTGCAGACCTGCTAAAAATCCAGAGGATGTCTCGGTCGGCTGCAGCCCGATCAAGCTGATGAAGCTGGGTCGAGTACTTTTGTAGCTCGTTCACATAAGGGGCCGCCTTCTCGTAGCAGCCTCAATGAGTGCAGGGTAGTTGCGGTGTGTGTGTGGGGCATGGAAAGCTTCACTTCTTATCATGCCGAGAAGGCTCTGTGCTTGCAATGTAAGCATTGCTTCTGCAGCTTCCGGCATGTCTGCAAAGATGCAGAGAACTTGTTTGCGAAACTCATCATGGCTACCGGTGTCTCCGATAGGACTCATGAGGAGTAAGTTCATGCTCCTAGCATTCTACTTTCCTTCGGCAAGTCCTGGTGGATTTATAGGGTTTAGGTCTTCGGGTTGAGGCTCGGGTAAGTGGTTTCTGTGGTGCGTCATCTTTTCACACTCGCAATTTTGGACCACTGTGGGGCTAAACGGGTTCATGTCTATCAGGCTCCTGCTGTGCACTGCTTGAGAAACGAAGCTGCGCAGGCAGCAAGCAGTGGACATGCTCGTGAACAATCTCCATTCCTGCTTTCTTCAATCAAACAATGCTGCTCTCAAAGCAAGCTGTACGCACCTGGTCCAACTGAAGCATGCCGCCGCTGCAGCCTGTATCGAAAATGCACGTTCTGAGGAACATTAGTTCATTTGCCTAGTGCCTCTCGATTCCCTCTGACTGGTGATTCCGACAAGGTCTCTTCAGTTTTGCTTCACGAAGATGTGATCTGTAGACCCTTGATCCTGTGTAAGCTCTGCGTTTAGCATTCGGCACACTTGCAATTGCAATGGCTCTGCTTTTCCGGATTGAACAGCAACTCAAAGCAGCTGATTGGCTATTGCAGGATGTGCACCAGAATGGAAACCAATACACTGGCAGCCACATTGGCTGTGAAACCATTGCCAGCGAGCTCTTGGGCCTGCTTGACTGTAAGATCTGTCAGGCCTGCCGCTTTGAGCTCACGGCTTGACAGGCCTTGCAGGCTCATCACAAACGTCGGAGACTTGTTCAGGTGCAGCCCATTCTCGTCCAAGTACAAAAACCGCTTCTGCGGAAGAAGGCATGGGTGCACTGTTCTCCATTTGTGTCGTTGCAAAGTGTCTCCGCTGGGGACGACGAACCTGGGCCGCTGCTGCCAACTATATGTCAACTTCACCCAGCGATCAGCAACCCCTTCAAGCTGCCAAAATGAATGCAAGACACAGGAGAGACTGGTCGATGTCCTTGGTTTGTCACACCGGACCAGTCAAGGAGGTCATACATTGACACCGAATGGTTTACAACCTTTTGCAGAGCAAGATTCATGGCCCCATGTCTTGCGCAGCTTGGCAAAGGACAGATGGGTTGCTTCCAATTCTCTTTCTGGCAAATCCAGCTCCTGCAAGCCTTGTGCAAGCAGAAGGCCTTCAATCTGAGGTTCAAGAACCACCCGAATGCTGAGGCCGGAACACTGATGCACCCATCTGACCTGTGGAACTTGTAGATCCTTTTCTGTGATGTTGTGCTTCTCCTTGTAAGCTGCATGGTCTGCAGGCCATTTCTGAGAAGATGCTGCCCTGCCGGTTGCCATCTGTCGTTTCCGAAGTTCCTGCACACTAGCAAATTGGAACAGAAACATGTATCCCACACTGACTGCCCAAGCAATATGCTTGTTCAGCTAGGCTGCTTGCTTATCAGTAGCTCTCTGCCACAAATCCACCAAAGGCTCGTGCCATTGCACTTGACACCGTCTGACTAGTCGCCACGCTGACGAGAGCTTCTCTCCAGCTTTCCGCTCAGCCCCCGGAGCCTGGGATCTCAAGGTGGTCAATGAAAGAACAAGCTGGCCTGTTTCATTGATTTGCATTCTGCAGGCCAAGTTGCCGCCAGGTCCAATTTCAAGCTGATTCCATAGACCCTGTTCCTGCTATGTGGCAAAGCAAAATGTTTCGAGTTGACCACCTCAAGGGCAGGCCACTGAAGCAAACATGAGCTGCAAGCCTCAACTTGTTGCACAAATGATTCTGGAAAAGCTGCCTGGAAGCTCGACACATACCCCTGCTTGCGCATGAGGTCCTTGATGACTTCTGTCCCCTTTTCATTCACAGTCTTCCTGTGAGCGTCCAAGTTTTTCACACATTCCCACATGATGCCAACTGGTCTCTGGGACCATTCCAAGCGTTGGATGAACTCAAGGAATTGAAGAAAGCTGCTTCCACTGTGCCCCTTAGCATCTAGAATGCTTTTCGGCGAAGAGGTCTGGCACGAGATATCATCACACTCCACACCGACAATGGCCAGGGAAAGTGCTGGCATGGATTCTCTGGGCACTGCCTGCAGTTCGGATGTGGCCCCATACACCTTGGTAGGCCACTAACCATCTGACAATAATCATATCACCCTGCTCGTGATTGGTGAACTTTGCAAATCAACCAAGAGCCCTAAAGAGCATCCCACATCCTGCCAAGATTCGGGAATGTGTTCCCACTCGTGCCCCTGTGCTGCCAACATATTCTGCAGCACATCGCGCTTCCACTTGACAAGCTCGGTGTAAAAACAAGGTTTTGGGATGACCGATACATCATGATCCTGCTGCAAAACTTTGCGCAGAATCTCCTCGGGTCAAGCTGCAACATACATCAAAGACGAAGAGCATCTGCAACTAAACACACAGCGACGATGCAAAACGAGCAACCAATGACTGGGAACCGGTACCCATTCCAGCACAGAATTCTGCAAAATGTACTTCTCTGGATCTCAACTTCCGCAGCTCTGCAGTGGAGAGGACATTGCCGAGCACGTAGCTCAGGAAATCAGTGCAGCATGAACTTCTGAAGCCGGGATTGGGCTGGCCAGTCTCTTCACAGTCTGAGCTTGAGTGAGGTGCAGCAGCCTTTCGTTTCTTCTTCTGCCTCTCTGCCCAATCCTTCTCTGCTTTCTCAATGCGAATGGTTTCTGGGCTATCCTCAGGTTCTGTTGTTACTTCTGAGGCTGCTTCGTCTCCGGTAAGCTGTCTGTGTCCTGACTGGTACAGCAGGTATGCCACTGTAAGGCTGCAACATGACGACATGCAAGTCCTGGCTGGATCTTGGAACTTGATGCTCTGGACCTCCTTTGTCCTGGTGGCTCGCATCTGAGACACTGTAAGAGCTTTGGTTGGCGGCCAAAGCTCAGCTGGAGTCCTTTGGCCCTTGAAGCAGTCTCTTGCACTGCAGGCTCTGAG